AAAAACAAGTAGTAGAAATTATACCTCCTCCAAGCTTCTTTAAAATTTTCTCTGTTGTTTTCTCCACTATCTTTTTTCATGCCACCCAGCTCCTTCTTTCCTATAAGAAAAAAAAAAAAAAAAAAAAAAAAAACCCTTTCTCCCAGCCCTTAAAAATGAATAAATATCCCATGCAAAATCATGTATGCCTTTAGATGAAAATTTCATCCAACGGTCGTCTTTTCTCCATTGTTTTCTTTGCAATTAACCACTTTTCACTATTAAATTAAGCCCATCAAGATCATTCCATGATTCAGGATGTTCATGACCAAAGGTTACATTTTTAATGTTGTTGAAACCATGTAAAAAGATCATTTTACCCCCATTAGAAAGTTTTCATATTTTATACAACTTTCCTGGATAACCATGATCTCTTTTTCATTTTTATGATTTTAAAGCACAAAAAATTCAAATATAATACGAAATTATGATTTGAAAGTTTTCGTGAAAAACTAACTTTGAGAATGTCAAATTATAAAATTACCTCTTAAGGCATGTTAGTAATTTCACATCTTTTAAGGTGCGGTCAAGATTTTGAATGTACCAAAAATCATGAAATAATATAAAACCATGATCTGAAATGTTTAGTAGAAAACTAATCTCGAAAAGGTCAAATTATGAAAATAACCCTAACAGTAATTTGGTAATTTCACACCTTTCAAAGAGTGCGATCAAGGTTTTTAATGTATCAAAAATTATAAAATAATATAAAACCATGATCTGAAGCGTTTGCAAAAATCAACCTCAAAAAATTAAATTACTAAAATACCCCTAAGAGCATTTTAGTAATTTTACACCATTTGAGGTGCGATCAAGGTTTTTGACGTATCAAAAATAATAAAACAATATTTAAATGTGATCTAAAAGTTTTTACGAAAATCTAATTTCAAAAAAGTTAAATTATAAAAATACCCTTGAAGAGCATTTTGATAATTTTATCCTACCTGAAATGCAATCAAGGTTTTTAGTATGTTAAAAATCACAAATATTAATTCTAAGCCACATTATCCCAATTGGTCATTAATTTTGAAAATTGGCCCGAATTCAATTCAATTTGACTAATTTTGATCAAATTTGATTTTGTTTGACTAAGTTTAACCGTGGGGCAATTGATTCAAATTGATCTTAAATTTTATTTTAAAAACTTTCCAAAATTCAAGAAATGCTGAATTTGAACTGGGTCAAATTTAAAGTACCTCACAACTAGTTGGATTCTACTTAAACAAAATTAAATATCTACAGATAGCGATGACAAGCAATAGTGCTATTGTGAAATCAGTACCGTTATTCTAGTATACCACTGCCATTTTATTCCTTACTCCCCACCCTATAAAATGCTCATATTTTGTGTTCCTTTTTTTAACATGTATTTGAACTTAAATAAGCACCCTTTTTTGCATTATAGAAAGCAAATAAATGTTTCAAACGGTTCAAATTCATGTTCTATTATAATATTATTTCCCCACATAAACATGGTAATGGCTTTCAAAAGTGAATCAGAAATGAATTCTATCTCATCTATGCAATCAAATTCCCTAAAGAAAATCAAGCATTTATCCTGCAATAGTAACCCTCTTATCTTTCAAATTTCAAAAGTTGTTTTTTGTGTGTTGTCTTATACAAGGCAAGCACTGAATATGACGGACCTTTTTGTAGCACTGACCTCCTTCATTCGCCTTATATTAAAAGCATTGAACCCCATCTGCAATACCAAGAAAAAACAATTAGTAATTCATGTTCAATCACAGTCACAGCTCTTAAAAATAGGAAAAGCTCAAGTGTGATATAATGACAAACTTGGATCTAAGTAATAAAAAGAACTTGGCTGGTGTGAGTTCTGACTAAGCTGCTGAGTTTCCATTGTCGAAGGTTGAAAAGAGAATGGCGAAAGGAAAGTTTAAACACAACCGTCTGTCAATAGGTGTGATGTTGTGTGGTGGCTTGGTGGGTTGGTAAGAGACGTGAAAGAGGTTTGGTGGCTTGATGGTTGTAAATTGTGAGAGGTGAGAAGGAACTAGTTTCTGGTGGTGTCTAGCGATTGTATGAGAATTGAAGAGAAGACAGGTCAAGTGACAGGTACAGGTTAAGGTTTAATATTTAATTTTTTAATTTCTATTTTCTTTCAATTCAAATCCAAAAATTAACTGTTTAAACCGCTTGAATTGTAGATTAAACCGAGTTTCCTTATTAAATTAAAAAAATCAATCCAATTTATTTTAATTGAGCAAATTTTTTATTTTTGTCAATTTAGATTGATGAATGCTCAAATCTAATACAAGTAACAAGCAATGGTTAGGAGTTAGGTTTAATAAAAAAAATCAAAAATCGATTCGAAATCATAGTGTTTGATTTAAATCAGCTTTTTTTTTTATTTAGTTCAATCAAGTTTAGATATTAAATGTATATATTAAGTTCATATTGGATTTCGGGTCAAAATATATAAAATTGAAAAAAAAATTTGAACTGATCAAAAATATATATTTTATTAGTTTTTATGTTTTTTTAAATTTTTATAAAATAAAAATAATTATTTTATATATAAATCTATTTGAATATATTTAAAGTCTTATTAAAATAATATTTAAAAAATTAAATTTAAAAATTGATAGACCGAATTGAACCAGTAAAATTCTATTCGGATCGAATCGATTTCAAAAGAATATTAATTCAGATTCATATCAAATTTCAAAAATTCATAATACTATACATTATCTAAAAAATTAAACCGAATCCATTCTGATCCGAGCCATTATTACCCTTATTAGAAGGACTTGTGTCAATTAACCTTACTCAATTTTTGAAAATAATAAAATATATATCTAATTAATTAGTACAAAAAATTAGTATATTTTTATATATTAACACCACTAAAATTTGTTAAGAAAGAGGTCATAAAATAAATTTATTTTAATTTTTACATTCATTTTAATTAAAAATTCTAATAATTTTCTTTTACTATGAATAAAAGTTTAACTCATGAGTTTAAAAGATTTTTTAGTGTGTATTTCTGTTGATTTTTTCAATCACATTTTTAGTCTTATTTTAATTTTGGTTTGTTACTTATTTCTTATTAAAATTCCCACACTTATTATTTATAGTTTTCTTTTTAATTATCATAATACATATTCTATATGAGTTTGTTCCAATTTATAAATGATTGGTTTAATATATTTGATACAATAATTATTTCATACATAGTTAATTATTCATTAAAACTAATGTATCCTCATTGTAAAAGAAATAAAAAATATTATATCGACTATCTACTTACATTTTTTTTTAAAAATTTTGATTAGTATGAGAAAAATAAAAAAGAAAAGCCTTATATAGTATCATTAATGAATTCATTGAGATAAATTTTTAGATAAATTATAAGAAAATATGTATTTATTTAAAATTTATTATATTATAAGATGTTTTATATTAAATTTTTTTAATGTTAAGTAATAAAACATTATAATGAAAAATTAATATTATAATATTAATTCCATTTATACAAATTTCTACCTCCACCACTAATAAAAAGTGTTAGGTAAATAATTCACATATCACCTGTCACGATCTACACCAACTTATGAGGTATTATCTGTTTTAATTTTACTGAATCTCACGAATTTATCCTATTAAAAATTAATACTTATATCCCAAAAAGGTCTCACAAGTTGAAAGTGATGTAAACACTTATATCACAAGATCAAAAATGGTGTGAACATTTATATCTCAAAACCAATGACCAATGACTAACTCTAAGTGGTGTGAATACTTATATCTCAAGAGCAACAATCAATGACTAACTTTAGTTAACAGTCGATGTGGGATTCAATGCTCCTTTTTAGGACCATGAGATGCTCTCTCACTCTAATGAGAGCCTATGTCCTTAGTAGCACATCACTAATATTCCCAGAATAGGTTCTAATACCAAATGTCACATTTTATACCAACTTGTGAGATAAACTTGTAAAGTATTATCCATTTTAATTTCATTAGACTTCATAGTTTTATCCCTAAAAGACACCTCATAACTCAATGTGGTATGAATATTTATATCCCAAAACCAATTATGGTATATAATTTATGTAAATTCATAACTTCTCTTACGCAATATTTGAATAAATATTAATAAAAAAATTTAAGAAAAGAAAATGAAAGGAAAATAAAGTTTTTTAAAGGAAAAAAAATATATGTACCTCTTGTTTAGATAATTAAAATTAATAAAGAAAAAAAAAAGAATTCTAATAACCTTTGTTCGGATAAAAAATAAAAAAAAATGATTCATTGTAATAATTTTTTTAATTATAACCTTTCATTATTTATTATTTTAAAGTATTCCTAGGTATAATAGTCTTTTTATAAAAATAAAAAAAAAATTTAACTTTTTTTCTTTAATTTTTTTTTTCAAATTGAGGTATTAAAAAATAAAGATTACAAAAAATCAAAGATTATTGAATTTTCACTTCTTTCTTTTCTTTCAAATTAAAAATTTATCCAAATAAAAAAAAAATTATTTCTATTACTTTCTTTTATTTTCCTTTCATTTCCTTCCTCTATCCTCAATCCAAATATAATATTATGGTCCATGATACCACCCTAGCATGAACATATAATTTGACTTATTTATTTGTTGTTTTTTAAATTCTTATTTATTATTTTTTGAAAAAATAAATCCTTATTTATTTGTTGGTCATTACGATCATTTATCACGTTGCATAATAATAAAAACCAAAGATTTTACTAATAAATGCTTTTAAGGTATTTTTAAAATTATTATATACTTATAATAATATTTTGACATAATATATTAAAAATCATGAATAAAATTATTTAATTATTTCATTTTTGAAATTATTTAATTATTACACTAATTACAAAATCATTACGGCCACATGGCATTAAAAGATTTAGTAAAAGAGAGAGGGCCCCTTTTAGCTATATTCTGTTCCGGAGGTGAAAACAACAGAAACTCTGCCCCACTCCAAAAACAAGAATGATTAGCATAGCAACTAATTAACAAATTAAATTGAATTGAATCCAATCAACGAGAGGAGTGGAGGATAACTGTGTCAACTTTGTCTTTGTTGAGGGCTCCTTAATAAATTTCTGTTCTTTTTTTTCATTCTTCAAAGATTCCATCCATTTCAGGTCCACCACCATTGCAATATCATCTCCTTTTCTCTCTTTCTTCATCGTCATCATCTTCTTCTTTCTTTTTTCTATCTTTTATGTATACAAGTATATTTACTCTACTACTGTGGTATTTTGTTTCCATCAGAATTCACATTATTATTATTATTATTATTATTATTATTATTATTATATTTTTACGAACTGTAAATATATCTGTTTCTTTGTGGTGTTTTCTTATAGAAAAAGAGAGAGAGAGAGAGAGAGAGAGAGAGAAACACAAACACAGAGATAGATGTTTTTCCCCTTTTCCTCTGTACTCTGATGAAGAAAGTTGGATGTTTTCATTTCCATTTCTATTGAACAGAGAAAATCTGATCGGAGGTTGGGGATTCCTTCTTCTGTTTTGTTGGTGCTGACGGTGGGTCTTTCTTCATAAGCTTTGACTCTTTAATCAATCAGGTAATCATTTTGTTATCTCTCTCAAATCAACTTTACCTTCGTCTTTTTTCTGTTTCTCAATTTCAATCCTTTTCTTCTTCTTCTTCTTCTTCTTTTAAATAGTCATAATGTCATAGCTTCACTGCAAATTCAAGATACAAAGCTCGGTTTTTGCAATTCTCTATTTGAGCCAAAAAGAAAAAAAAATCTTTATGACCCATGCTTTGCTTCAAATCTTCTAACTTTGATACTATTTTGGGGCTTTAACTCAAACGTGACATGATTCAAATTCCTTATCGTTAGATCTTGGTGGTCAACATCGTTTAAAACATGAGTTTCCAAATTTATCAAATTAACTGTTTTTATTTTATTACTTTTCCTTTAAGATATCTTCATCAAATTTGGAATAGGCTGTTATTTTTTTCTACTGTCTATCAATTTCCTTTTCGTGATATTACCGAATGCAACTCTTTTTTCTGCCCTCCTTTTGGTTTGTTTGAGGAAGGAAAAGACGCATAATAATCACATAGTTCGAATATATCTATTATTCATTTCTGGAATCATTTTGGTGAGCTGAGGTGTAAAATGCTAGCTTTCACTTTCTACCTTCATCTTCTTTTTGCTGTTCCAGGAAAAAGAAAGAAACCCAATATGTTATATTTGAATCTTATTTCTCGTTGTTTTGGTTATGGAAATGTCATTTGCAGTATGCTCCACAATTGGGAATTGCCCTGTGTTGAACTGAAGATTCTAATCATCTCTTAGTTTTACTCTCTAAAGATATTTCTTGTTGTGTCGTTTTGTAGTTATTGGGGGGCTTCTCTTTGATCAGCATATATTGTCGATCTGTCAGGAATTCATCCAACTTCATTTCTAAACGAACTGATATTGAGGCTAGTCTTAGAATTATCATGACTGGTATTGATGATAATGTTGCTATTAGTGGAGACTGGATACCTCCTACCCCCAGCCCAAGAACATTTTTCACAGCTATTTTAGGTGATGATATTGGCTCAAAACCGATCTCTGAAACTCCTGTGGAAAATAAAACTGAGGGATTATTTCTGGGAACTCAAGGAATGATAACGGCAGAGAATATTGAGAAAAAGGATGTTCACCATGGTTGTGAACTTTTGATTGAATCAGGATCAATTTTTGAGCGAAGATCAAGTTCACGGGGAGGTCTAGTGGAAAGGATGGCGGCCAGAGCTGGATTTAATGCTCCAAGATTGAATACTGAAAGCATCAGGTCTGCTGACCTTTCACTTAACCCTGAAATTCATTCTCCTTACTTGACAATACCTCCTGGTCTCAGCCCAACAACACTGCTAGAATCTCCAGTTTTTGTTTCAAATTCTTTGGTAAGTTTACTAGCCTGAAAGTTTTGGTACCATCTAGTTATAATTCTTGCCTTTTGGAGCAAAGTATAGATGGTATCAACTATCAACTGTAGAGGCCACAAGGGTCAATGAAGTCCATACTCCATTGAGAAGTCAAAGGAATCATAATACAAATAAGATAGAGGACTATTTTCCTGCACTACCATTGAAACAAACTCTTTTAGATTAATTACCATTGAAGGCATTTAAATTAGAAAACAATCTAAAAGTTATATACTTTATTTCATTAATAGTTTCCTGTTGTTTATAGGAGTTCTGTTTCATACAAATTTCTCAATTTGTATCACCGCAGGCACAGCCATCCCCGACTACTGGAAAATTCCCTTTCATTCCTAATGGTAATGGTAGGAGTTCTATCTCAGAGTCCCTTGATAAAAGTAAAGATAACTATTTTGAGGACATCAATGCATCCCCATTTGCATTCAAGCCTGTTGCAGAGTCAAATTCCTCTTTTCTCCTTGGTGCAATGAGCAAAGTAAGTATACCATGGGATTTTCTTTTTCGACAATTAAACTAAGAAAAAGAAACAAAAAAGGTTTAAATGAATAAAAAGGTCTTTCTTAAGAATGCATAATGTTATTCATGTTTGTTCCCACTTCTGTTATTACTCAAATTCTAAATACTCAAAATTGCTACAATGAATTAGAACTAAGAATAGAGTGAGTATTAATGTTAGTTTACCTTCTATATAATGCAAAAGGGTAGACCAAATTCATTTTATAACTATTAAATCTTCCTTTTTATTGCAGATTACTCCAGCCAGTCTTCCTCAGCTGTCTTTACCAAATATTGAGGTTTCACTTCAGTCTGAGAATTCTCTTCTGTCTAAAAATGTAGACCCAGGTAAAGTCCACTCTCAAAACAGCAACATGCTCAGCCTTCAGGCAGATTTTTCTAGATCATCAACTGAAAAGGATATTGGGAGTAACAACTCTGCTGATCAAAGGGCCTTTGATACTGTTGGTTTGAGTGCTGAACATTCACCGCCTCTTGATGAGCCACAGGATGAAGAAGGAAATCAAAGAGTTATTGGAGATTGCATGGCTGGTGATGTTGGTGGTCCGCCATCTGAGGATGGATATAATTGGAGAAAATATGGACAAAAACAAGTAAAAGGCAGTGAGTATCCTCGTAGTTATTACAAGTGCACACATCCAACTTGTCAGGTTAAGAAGAAAGTGGAACGTTCTCATGAAGGTCACATAACGGAGATCATATACAAGGGAGCTCACAACCATCCCATTCCCCCGTCCAATCGCCGATCTGTGATTGGATCATCCAATCCTCTAATCGACATACAACTAGAAATCCCTGGACAAAATGGCCCTCAAAATGTTACTTGTGGTGATCCTGTTTGGGCAACTGCACAGAAGGGAACAGTTGCTGCTGCTCATAATTGGAGGCATGACAACATTGAGGTGACGTCATCTGCAACTGTGGGTCCCGAATATGGCAATGGGCAGGCCCCGAATAATACTCACTTTGAATCAGGTGATGCAGTAGACGCCTCATCGACCTTCTCTAATGACGAAGATGAAGATGATGGGGGGACACATGGCAGTGTCTCATTAGGTTATGATGGTGAAGGAGATGAATCTGAGTCAAAGAGAAGGTTTATATCTGACAATATTTGAATAGTGTTTCTATTTAGATCACTATGTGAATATTTTCATTTTTTATACCAGGAAAATTGAAGCTTATGCAACAGAAATGAGTGGAGCCACACGAGCTATTCGTGAGCCTAGGGTTGTGGTCCAGACAACCAGTGAGGTGGATATCCTAGATGATGGATATCGGTGGCGCAAGTATGGCCAGAAAGTAGTGAAAGGAAATCCGAATCCAAGGTTTTTTTCCCTTCAATCAGTCATCGTTTTATCTTCTATATCCTCTCTTTTACTTATTCATGCATAGAGCAGTTTACTGCTATTGGCTGTCGAAATAATGCAGACCATCATTTGCTATTGTTTCAATGCAGGAGTTACTACAAATGCACCAGTGCTGGCTGCACAGTGAGGAAGCATGTAGAGAGGGCATCACATGACCTTAAGTCAGTAATTACTACCTATGAAGGAAAGCACAATCATGATGTTCCTGCTGCTCGTAGTAGCAGTCATGTCAATTCTGCTACCTCTAGCACAGTAAATGCCCAGGCTGCTTCCTCTGTCCAAACTCATGCCCACAGGCCAGAGCCATCACAACTTCACAACACCATGGTTAGACCTGCATCATTCGGTCCATTTACTCTGCCTGGAAGGCAGCAGCTGGGGCCTTCTCCTGGCTTCTCCTTAGGAATGAATCAACCAGAACTGGAAATTTTGGCAATGGCTGGGTTGGGCCCTGTTCAAGCGAAGCTGCCAGTTCTGCCTGTTCATCCACTTATGCCTCAAAAACGCCAGATCAATGAAATGCGTTTCATGTTGCCGAAAGGAGAACCAAAGATGGAGCCAATGGCTGAACCTGGTTTGAATCTATCCAACAACACACCATTATACCAGCAAATTATGAGTAGGCTGCCTCTAGGACCGTAGATGTAAATTTTCCATTTTTTCCTAAAAAATTTCTTTTTCAGTTTTTCTGAGAAAGCATTATGTTTCCAATATATAAATGAGCATTTCATCAGTTCTTGGTCTTCCTGATTATTCTGTTGATTTTTGGTGACTTGAACATTAGTTGAAATTGTTATGAGATGTAGTATTTCTTTTGATTTCTACTTGCACCGAGAACGTCGAAGAGTATAGTACCAAAATTGGAACTGCAAGTCTGCAACACTAGATCGTTGGAACTTGAGTCCAGGATGGCGAAAAAAGCCAAGAAAAGGATGCTATAGTAAATTGTTAGATTGAGTTGCTGTTTGGTGATTATGACGACAAGTGGTTAATGAAGTAGCAACTGACAAAGTGACAGATGATAGCAATGAAGACTGAAGAGGTATGTCATCGTAGTGGGACACGGGGAAACGCTGGGAAGGCAAAACAATCAGAGGAATATGCGATCGAACTAGAAAGTTGTTCACCCTCTCAATACAACCGATCATCGTTCAGCGATCGCTATCAAGTTTCCTTTCGGCTTTCCTTTCCGCGTATGCAATATTGCATAAGCATTGCAATGTCAAAAGAAAATTTTCCATTCAATCATTATCCAAAAAGATGTTAATACAGGTACTGCTTATATGATCAGTATCCCATAAGTTGAACAAATTCATGGTTAAAATGACTTACCATGTCGCATAGCATAGTTTGTTCAACACATTTTAGCAAGATCCCTGAGTTTTGCAATTTAAAAATGATACCTTCATTTAAAACAAGAAAAATTACTTCATTTACGGTGAATACAGTATGAAACTTTATCTTGGAGTTCTGGCCAATTTTGTTTGGGAAACTTGTGACCCTTAAAACAGTGTAACTCTGTCGGTAATCAGCGATCGGTACGCTTTTGTTGCCAAAGTTGAATTGTACTTTGAGGCTTTAGTTGAATTGTACTTTGAGGCTTTAAGCTAATTTTGGATCCCCTTGTTTCCAGTAAAGGAGAGGAGAGGAGACGGAACCCATTGTCGTAAGTCGTAATCAGATAACGAGTACATGCATTAATGAAATAAATAACACTATATAACGCCCAATAGGGTAAGACCAACATGAACGAGGTTAAGATGTAAATATGAATCTTTCAAGTCAAACAAGGCTTCAATCTCACTGTTACATCTTACAAATTAAATGTCCCGAAAAAGTTCTTTCAAAGTTCATCGAATGACAAATATAATTAGCCAAGCACTATCCATCTGACCCCCGTCTCGCCCATAAAGCATCAATGGCCACCATTTGCTTCTCTTGAAAAAGAAATTGATTTGCCTACTGATTTGCACTATCTTTTTTCTTTAATATTTAACTGACTGTAAAAGTACTTTTACAATGCATTTTTCTCTAAATAACATGAAGGATCCTCAGTTATATCATCACAGCAAAAGCTATGGTAATCCTGTATGGAGTAATCTCGACTCAATGCGTGATTTGAAGACCCGATGCTAAAGCAGGCATAATCAACTTCCTTGGTCTCTCTTCTATATTGCTGTATATCGTGGCAGGCCGAGCAGCGTCAAATTTGACAATCAGCTGCATCGCTGCATTAATGGCCATTCGCCAGCTCCTCCAGATTATTTTCCTTCCTATGCTGATAGATGGATTTCCTGTGATTTATCTTCTCTCTGCATGGGAAAAAACAAGAATAAAATCATAGATAATAATTGATAATATAAAAATCTATCAGAAACCAAAATCACAAACCCCCAGCAAAATCTAGATAACAGCTCTAATAAGGATATGATCAACGGGAAAGAAAGAAAGATATAAGATAATATAACAACAGATTGAAACATAAATATGAACCTGAGACAGTTCCAGATTGATTCATAATGAAGAACAGCAACAATTCTCCGCTTCCTTCCTTTGTGGGGCTCTCCCCCACGTTTCACCACCGGTAATTGCTTTATTCCTTTAGCCTCCATCAACTCCTTGGCAATTGCCAAGTCTGTGTCCGGATAACAGATTAAAAGTTCACGCTCTTGCCCAAGGTAGCTAATCCCTCGAGTGCATGCAGAGGGAAACAAGACATGTATTCACCTGTATAAATGTCTTAATGTCTTATTTTAAAACATGAGAGAAGAAGTGAGAGAGAGTTGGCATTACATACATCGAGAGCCATTGATTCACCGTTGGAGACATCACTGGGCATCTTAGACAGACACCGTCTAATATCACCATATGTGAGAATCCCTTCCAAAAAATCATCTTCATCGACCACAAGCACACAGTTCTGATGGCTGTCATGCATGCATTTTACTGCTTCTTTCAGGGTAACAGCCATTGACAACTCCGACATGGCCCTAGAAACCCGACAACAAGCAAGGATGAGAATGCATCGAGTCAGGAAAGGAACTTTGAATAAGGGAAATATTAATGAGGAGATCAAACAACCAAATTAAAAACAGGAAACTTGACCATTTTGAAAATCTTTTCTAAAACAAAATGAGAAATACCCTAAGATTTTCTAGCAGTGTATCTTCATCTACTGTTTCTTGGTCAGCAGCCTTTTCTATGATAGAGAGTTCCTCAGCAGCAGAAAGGGAAGAATAACCTCTTGCTAAACTCCTAGTATCAGATAATTCAGTCTCCTTGTTCTGATTAGTCACAGAAGGAACCCATATTGCTAATCCAACAGCCCCTTATATGCCAAATCGACAACGAAGAAAAATTTTTCAAAAATTACGTGGAAATATTTAGACAATGTCCCATGACATGGCAACAAAGAAATTACTCAAGAATAAAGCTAAACCCTAAACAATTGAAGCAAAAAAAATCCCTAAAGCCTTAATAGTTAATCCTATCAAAAATGGGAAATACTACAGAAATCTTGTAATACAACAATATAATAACAGAGAAAACCATAATTTAGATTTCAGTTTCAAACCACTGGTGTGGTGCATAACATGTTTCCATTCTTGGTCATTCACTAAACCAAACAATGACTTAATTCCAGTAAAGTTGGACTGCCTTTATACTGGGCCTTTTTACCGTTTCTTTGTTTGCTAGAAGAAACTAGGCCAGCTATGAAAAATTAGTAAGGAGGATCACATAAAACATTACCATGAGAGGAAGTAATATCCTGTAATCTTTTGTCAGCTCAAAGAGAAGTAGAACTGAAGTTAGGGGAACTGAACAAACTGAAGCTAATGTGGCAGCCATTCGAAACTAAAGCAGAAGCTTGAACATATTAAAAACAGCTTCCATAAAATTGAACAGTATTTTGCCAAGATCAAGAGATATTTTTTCAGTAACTCCCCATGAAAAGTTTACCAGTGCATATGCTTGTGGTTGTGCAACGGTAGCATTGCCTGGAATAGCTGAATTAATAAGTCCAGCAGCTGAGCCTCCAAATACAGCACCAATGGCAGCAATCATCAAACTCAGTGCATAAAGGCCACCTACAAGCCCAGACCCCTTACACAAAGCAGTGGCAACAACTTTGCCTGCTGCTAATTGGGTTAGCAACCAGAATCCAGGAGCTGACGCAGTCTTCCCAGTATGTAGGATGTCATTGACATTTGTAAAGCCCCAGCATAGTATTCCAGGATACTTGAGAGCTATTACTCCAGATCCTAAACCACCTAAAGCAGGACAGATTACAGCAGGAAGTCTGAATTTCTCCTTGATAAACTCAAATGCCTTTGTGAACCAAGAAACCAAGTGAGTGAAGACCACACTTACAACACCACATAGCATTCCCAAAATCAGGTAAAAGGGTAGCTCTGCAAGGCAAAATTAAATAAATATTGTAAGTATTGTCACATTTTCCCTTATATGCTGTCATTCCTAACCATATATTTCCTTTGCATGAAGCATGAAACATGAAGCTTGTTTCACCTATTCAAGTAGAAAAGCCAAACAGTCAGGAGTATATGCCTTGGAATCGATAATGCATTCTGAAATCACACACTATTCTGGCCGTTCAATGTCAAATATTGGAAAGGCAAATAAGCTCTTTGAGTTTTTTTCTAAATTTTCGAATAGCAATGAGGAGGACATGAAATCAAAACATAACATTGCTGAAATTGCTAATACGTAAACAACAAGCACACTTTAATTCCAGATCAATGGAGAAGTACATTCATCAATCTCCTCCGTTAAACAACAAATTACTTTTGAAAGGAATATCAGAAGCTGTAATCACATCGGGAAACTTACACAACTATATACAAGCATCAAAACTGTGATCCTGAAAATAAAAAAAAATTAAAAAAAAAAACTCATTACAGGAAGGTGAAATACCTGCTGCTGATTTCAAATCATATGATGGCACGGTGAAAGCTGATTCTGTCCCAAGTAAAGCATTTGATACAGTAGATGAGATAACAGACGCCAAAATTATCATTGCAGTTGTAAATGGAGGTGAGTTTTCAGCATGGAGAGGTCTTAATACAGTTTCAATAGCAAAGAAGCAACCAGCAACAGCAGCATTAAAACCTGAAAAGAAGGGAGAAAAGTTGAAAGAAAAAATAAACCATTTCATCAATCAATTTAAAAATGATACAATATATAGCCCCTAAATGAAATTAACAGACCAGGAGGAAATTTAAAAGCTTATGCCAATCAAAGCCACAACTATGAATGGAAGTAAGTTTACAAATGTTTGGATTAGCATGCTCAAGAGAGCCCTGTATTCATTTTTGGGGGTGGGTGGAAGGTGAGAAGCCAGAGATTCTTTTGCTAAAATAAAAGAACTAGGACAATACACAAGTCATCAAATCCAGCTTTGTTTCATATCACATAAAAAGTATTATTAGAGAAGAAAAGTTCTTTGCAGTATTCACAGTAAGTAACCTATAAGAAAATTCAGTAGCTGAGTTATATCACACCCTAGCACATTACAATTCAGTGATGTCATCCTTCAACTGACAAGATACCCTGGTCTATTACGAAACTAGTTCTTGTTTGATTGGCTCCCCAAGCATGGCCATCAGTAATTAAGTACCCCCAGGACCAAACTCTTCCAGAAAATAGACTAGAGAAATGCAGTTCCCGCACTAGCAATATCGAAATCACATGTATATCATTATATGTACAGATTTCAGTTTCCGCG